CAAAGATACTGAGGACCTGATGGTCATGCCATTTGCACCAACTGTTGTGTTCTTCAGAGCTGCTTTTACTGTGCTGTTCTACTTACACAGATTTCATTGGCAATATCTTCATTCACTCCCAAGACTTGCAGTTTTTTATCTATAGCTACATCAGCTTCCAGAATATGCTTATGTGTATATTTAGGGTTGACGTAGAGGCCTTCAACCACCTCGAGACATGAGTTGCTCTTTCTTACTGGTATTACATGTTTCTAGCCTGCTGTAAATCATCATGTATGCAGATTTATTGCAAAAGATGTCACAAATGTGCTTGTCTGCTGTGAGTTTCCAGAAGAGGACTTAGGGGGCTGGTTAGCTCAGGTGGTTGAGCATGGCGCTGACAACACCAAGGCCGCGGGTTCGGTTCCCATTCAGTCCCCATGTGTTGCCTGATCTAGTCGAGAGGTGGCGTCCCTGCCCGTGACAGGGAGGTTGGATTAAATGATCTCTGAGGTCACTTCCTGCCTAGGCCATTCTGTGATTCTGAAGCGTGTAGCGAGGATTTGGGAGGTTGGTTCTTGGTATGTCCCTTCCCTATGTATCCTCCAGACGCCTCAGAAGATGTCTGGAAGCCAGTGGGGCTAAAGCAGAGCTCTTAAGTGGAGACTGACTAGAACTTTTGAGTTGACTTAGGTTGCTTCTGTAGGTTTAGGTGTAGCATTTGCTACTTGAGCGATTGTGGTTGCGCTTGAAGCTGTGCTCCTTGGTGTTTGTTGTAGGCATATGTCAAGAAATTAGCAGGCATTCCAAACTTTCATTCATGTACGTTAAGTACAATGACTTAAAATTGCAGGTAGCTTTGGCAGGGGGTGTGTGGAGAATCACATGCCTCGTGTTCAACAGAGGTATTTGATCCCTTATTTTGCTCTGGAACATGCCTGCCCTTAATTTCAGTGTCACGTCAGCATTTCCTGCACTTCTTAACATCATCGTGCCTGTGAAATGATTGCCATTCCAGATACACCTACGGCTTAATGCCGTAGAACAGTATTTCTGCTTATGAGTCATGGTTGCTATAGTTTAACAATAAGAAACAGAAAACCCTGTGAAACGTCTCATGACCTTCAAGTATGAATTTCAAGGGAAAAATGTTTCTGGAATATAAAAGTACTTCAATTATCCAGTCTGATTTCCCTCTTAAAGTACTGTTGTGTTCACAGAGAAACATTAAAAATAAAATTACTTTGGTCTTCTGTGTTAAAAAAGCTCTTTATTGGACTGTGCAGCTGTAAAGAACTTCCCTTAAGAGAAAATTGGTGGCATTTACATGACACAACTTGAATGTCTAATCTTAATTCAGTGATGTGAAAAGCATATTAATAGCTAGGCTGCAGTCTTCTACAATACTGCTGGAACCCCAAAAGGAAATGGCTTGCTAGGTTTATTGAAGTACTATCTGCCTTGCACCATGATTATAAATTCTCTTAAGCGTAGTTATGCTTCCATCAAACTTCATTGATTATAACGAGTGTCCACTTTGATATATCTATAAACAGAGTAATGAGCTAAAATGTGTAGATTAAACTGTGCATTTTCACGTGCATGGTTGTTGTTGCTTTAAAAGGAATGTAGAATCAGCTTTAGGGGAAAAATGTGGCAAAAGCCATTGTTTAATTACTCCCAGTAAAACTCACTCTTGCAAGACTTCTTTCAAAAGCATATGTAATACTTTTGTGTTGATGGACAAATCTATGTATTTTTCTGTGTAATTTTTTTATAATTGAAGCATTTTTAATGCAGGTGTCAGTTTGAAATCTTGCTGACTATGGCATTGAAGCCAGCCTGTGTCTTCTAACAAGATGAAATCCATGTGTAACAAATGGCTAGTTTGGAATTTCGGCACAAAACGTTAGCTATTTCAAGGCGTGATTGACTGCACATTTCACCTTGATTAACTTGCAAAAAACAGAAGGCAGCAGGCAGGAGAACAGACAGTATTTTGCCATACATGCTGTTTCTTTAATCTCAGTGTAAAGGATTACTTCATTCATTTGCATGCTCATTATGGAATTCAGAATCATGCTTACTGCCTGAAATAAAGGAGCTCACATTGCTATCAGGCTTATGCAGCTGTCTCTGGAAGCACGCAACATGACGTTCTCTGTAAATTCTTGAATCTTAGTATTATCTTTTAACAAAATTTCTTTTACATCACATGACTAGAAAGCTTTTATAGTGCTGTAGCTATTTTTTATGAATACTGAAACACCAGATTTTCTTCAGCCTGTTTGACTGTGAGACTAGAGAGAAGTAGCAGGGGAATGCTGTGGGAAAACTAACCTTCTCCAGCAGCTTGCAAACTGGGTGGAGGTCTACCTTCATCTCCTCTTGTATTGTTTTGCTGTTGAGAGAAGTTGCTGGGATGAAGTTAAGGTGACATGTGCTGTTGGTCGCTTCTTCAGAAGTTCGTATGAGCCACTCCATGTCTCATGTGACATATTGTACCTGACGGCTGCATCTGTGGTGCATTTATAGCTGGGGTGTTGGGGAAATAGCAGTTTGAAGACTGCTGTGTTTGCTTGCTGATAGCTAGTTGATAGAAGCTTCGCTGTACCCAAACTGGATGTCTGGAAATGTTGAAATTTGGTGTCTGGAACAGGATATCTGTCACTTCAGCAATGAGGAAGGGGTGTGCCTAGTGATAGTACTATCATAGTATTTTAGATGATCACAACTAATGTGACCTGTGGAAAGGCAGGCCCTGGCTGCTTGCTCTTACTGCCTTGTAGTGGCACAAAAGAGACCTGGACAGGCTGGATCGATGGGCCAAGGGCAATTGTATGAGATGCAACCAAGGTCCTGCAGTTGGATCACAACAACCCCTGGCAGTGCTGCAGGCTCGGGGAGGAGCAGCTAGAGAGCTGCCAGGCAGAACAAGACCTGAGGGTGTTGGTGAACAGGAGGCTGAACGTGAGCCAGCAGTGGGACCAGGTGGCCAAGAAGGCATCCTGGGCTGTACCAGCAATAGTGTGGCCAGCAGCACCAAGGCAGGGATCGTGCCCCTGTGCTTGGCACTGGTGAGGCTGCATCTCGAACACTGTGTTCAGTTTTGGGCCCCTCACTAAAGAAAGGACACTGAGGTGCTGGAATGCGTCCAGAGAAGCGCAACGAAGGTGGTGAAGGGTCTGGAGAACAAGTGTGATGACGAGCAGCTGAGGGAACTGGGATTGTTTACTCTAGAAGAAAAGGAGGCTGAAAGGAGGTTGTAGCAAGCTGGAGATCAGTCTCTTCTCCCATATAAAAAGCGATGGGACAAGGAGAAATGGCCTTAAATTGTGCCAGAGGAGGTTTAGATTGGATATGAGGAAAAATTTCTTCACCAAAAGGGTTGTCAGGCACTGGAACAGGCTGCCCAGAGTAGCTGTGGAGTCCTCATCCCCTGGGATATTTGAAAGCGATGTAGATGTGCTCAGGGACATGGCTTAGTGGTGGATCTGGGATTGCTGGGTTGATGGTTGAACGCAATGATCTTAAAGGTCTTTTCCAACCTAAGTGATTCTGTGATTCTAAGTTCACTCTCCATCTGGCTCAGTTCTCTGATGTCTCTTACTGTAAGAAAGTTTTCCTAGCATTGAGGAGAGAACAAGAAGCAAGCAGCTAGGGGCACAGGGGATATTAAGGCTTTTTTTCGTGACTGACTGTGTAGTTGTAGCATAGTTGTGTTAAAATTTCAGCTAAGGTCAGTTCTGTGTTAAAATACATGGGTATAAACTCTGTATGGTAAGGATTAGGGAAGGTGAACCCAAAACGTTGCATTTTGCAATGTATCCCTTCTGTAATCAATGCCTGAAGCTTTAAATGCTGTATATTGGATTACTATTTAAAAATCACCAATGCACTTTTGAACTGTTATTCTTAAAAATATTTTTTATGATCCCAGATGTGTCCTACTTCGTACCTTCTCTTAGGGCCTTCATCTGCTGGTCCTTGAGTTGAGTTGGTACACTGCAACAGTATGAACTGAAATCAGATGTTCTTTCATCTTTAGAACTTGACCTCCTTGTTACGGTGGAAGAATCCCACAGAAATAGAAAGGAAGTTGCTTAGAAGAATTCTGGACAATTTTATAGCTCTGAAAAGAGTTTGCTCACAAAATGGTTAGATGATACGCTTATGCAAAGTTACTCAATTGTAGTAGCAGAGACAGAAGATTGCTTCCTTTTACATAGTGGGCTTTTTAATTTATTTTTATTTCTTTTAAATGAGAATCTTTTCTGTTTATGAACTTCAATCCTTATACTCTTCTAAAACTACCTCTAATAACCAAGTAAGTAGTATTCTTTACTTTGAAGACCTCTGTGTCCTACAATACCAGAATGTGATAGGAGAAGGACTGGAAGTTTTTTGTGACCTTCTGGAAGAATCAATTGTTGGTTAAACGGTTTGTTAGTACTACGATATGATGTAGCTTTTAAAAAGCCATCCTTTCAAGAGCGAAACCTGATGTGCCCGTCTGTCTTCATGCATGCATTTAACATGCTGCCTGAAATAAAGGATGTTTCAGAATCAACTATGCATAACTTAATCGCTTCCTTATTTTATTTCTTAAAATATGTTGAATTACAGGAGGTAATACTGAATCGTCTGATTTGTGGTGGTGTTGTTGTTTGTGTGCTTGTTTTGTGGAATGAGACCTATTTTATGTTTAGAGCTTCTGTGAATTTGAGACAGCACTGCAAGGGCTGCAATGAGGTTTTGTTGTTACTGCTGTTCAAGCATGAAAACATTTAGAAGTCTTTGAAAACATTAACAACCAAACTCAACTTTCAACCCGGACACTTTTTTTTTTACTTTTTAAACTAACTATACTCTAGTGTTGGGTAGGGGTACAGGTAGTACCTAAGATGACACCTGTGAAACTAGAGTGATGGAAGTTTCAGATGCTTCACCGTGCTCTTCAGAAAGCTCTGCTTGGGGTACTGTTGGTTCACCTGTGCTTATCTCTTTTTCCTTTCTAGAATATGGTATCAAGTTTTCGTGTTTCTGAACTACAAGTGTTGTTGGGATTCGCGGGACGTAATAAAAGCGGACGGAAACATGACCTCCTGATGAGGGCATTGCACTTACTGAAGAGCGGCTGCAGCCCAGCAGTTCAGATAAAAATCCGAGAACTATATAGGCGTCGGTACCCAAGGACGATTGAAGGACTGTCAGACTTAACGTCTATAAAACCCGCGGTTTTCAACCTGGACAGCAGTTCCTCTCCTGTCGAGTCTGACCTGGCTGTTGCTGGCATTCACTCACTCCCTTCTACTTCGGTCACACCTCAGTCTCCTTCCTCACCTGTCAGTTCTGTGCTCCTTCAAGACACTAAGCCCCACTTTGAGATGCAGCAGCCATCCCCTCCAATTCCACCCGTTCATCCTGATGTTCAGCTGAAAAGCCTTCCTTTTTACGATGTGCTTGATGTGCTCATAAAACCTACGAGTCTAGGTAAGTGTTTAATAGCTCGGCAGGTTGCTTAATTAATGAAGTTGGTATTGCTTGTGACAGTACGACGTCTAGATTTATGGCTTTCTGAGGCTGGGAAAAAGTGGAAACTCCGTTCTCATCTCTACCCTTGCCTTCTCTTCTCCACTTGTCCCCAGATGTGTCAAGCTACACTTCAGAAAATACTGTTCTCTTTTGTATATGTTACATCATTAAATATCTTTGTATTTTGAATATTAAAGAACGGAATAGAATAGTTCTATTGGAAAGTACCTGTGATGATCATCTAATTGCCTGACTTCTTCAGAGTTGAAAAGTTAAAGAGTCGGGGGGCCAGTTAGCTCAGTAGGTTAGAGCTTGGTGCTGATAACACCAAGGTCGCAGGTTCGATCTGCGTTTGGTCCCCATGTGTTGCCTGATCCAGCTGGGAGGCGTCCCTGCCCATGACAGGGAGGTTGGATTAAATGATCTCTAAGGTCCCTTCCAGCCTAGGCCATTCCATGATTCCATGATTCTAAAAGTTATGGCCGTTGTCTGAATGCCTGTTGAATAGTAGCAGGCTTGGGGCATTGCCTACACCTCCAGGAAGCCTGTTCTGGTGTTTGACCACCCTCTCAGTAAATACATGTTTCCTAACACCTAGTCTGAACCTCTGCTTCTGGCATGAGGGTTTGGAGCTGAAGTCTGCCTGGTAAAAGTGAGGAACACGTTTGTCCAGGCCCACAGGAAAGGGTTTCAGTGTCAGTAATTATGAGGTGCAATAGTGTAAAGAGAACAAGTTCACTGGCTTGTTAGTTCGTGCTTATCTCACTGCAGCAGTACTGCAGGTTCTGACATCTGGCGCTGAAATAACGACTTTGTGCAGCAGAGTTCAGTGCTGTACCGGGGTCAGTGAAGCTTTCTCAGCCTGCGGGTTGTTGCCATAGTGTATGTTAAAATGCAAAGTGAACCTTTGCCTTCCGAATAACGTGAAATCTCAATTTAATTTCCTCAAATGCCTCACTGTTAGATGTATTTAAGTACTTGGAAATACATTGTTTTCTGTCTTGAAATTTAACCTGTCTTAACCTTATATGGTAGGAGAGGTTCCCTAGCTATTTATCAGTATTGCTTAGAAAAACCTGAGCATTTTGCAAGCTTTTTGCATCCTCCTTAACACTTTAGTTTCTTAACTGATAATAGGGCCTTTTAGGCGATGACGTGTACCTCAATGGGGCATGCAGTGATCACTGGTCATCCTCCAGTACCTGATGTAGCAAACAACACTAATAAGCATTATTTACATTATTTACAACAGCTGTTGTTGCTGTGTTGTGACGCCCTGTTTAATATCGAACCTGTATGTTGGCACAGTAGCTGTTGTGATGTTGGGACAGCTCTGCAGCTCATGCTGGTGATACTTTTACAGAGATAATCAGTCAGCGTCACGATGTCCCGGTTAACTTCTCCATGTGTTATCTTCACTGTGCGTGGTAGCGATTGTAACTCCCTGGATTATTTTATGTTACAGGACAACTGTTGGCTTATAGTCAACTACACTGGTTGCCAGCTACATAGTCACTGTGTCCCTTATGATGTAGTGTGTACTTAGCATTATATTTCTGTTACGCAATTACTTTTTTTTTCCTGGTTAATGATATGTAGATGTGGTGATGGTAGGCTAGAAATTTCTATATGAGCTGTTTTCTTAACCTGGGACATGGTCCTCTTTTCCTGAAAGGAGAATGCTACCTTAGTTAGGGGTGTCACCGTGTTATGGTCAGAGCTGCATGAAAATTCCTCTTTCCTTTAAACACTGTAAACTTGTTGTACAGTGAGGATTATCTATTCCTGTAACATGAGTAGTTGCCTTCAAACTTTCTGGAGCACAGTACCTGAAGGTGGCAGCAACCAGAGCTACACTTTGGATCTGTGTGAGGAGTGGGGAAGTGAGATGTGAGGAGTGCCTTGATATGCAAATAGCGTGCCCTTCTGATGTTAGAAGGATATGAACATTGGCTGAAAATGCCTCTTTAACATGAATTCACAAGCAAATTTGGAAACGAAGGTTCCCATATTTAATATTTTTAGATGGTTGCATATAGGGTATAGTCCCAGTTAGTAGACCTATGTGGTTGGGACATGGAACAAACAAATTTTTTGTGTTTGAAAATTAAGAATTAAGAAACCAAATAGGCAGGTAGGGCAGAGAACGAGGAGTGCATAGTCTGCTTGACTGTGATTAAAAGGGATTGGGGTGGGTGTTCTTTTGAACAAGAGCAGGTGTAGGTGTGGGGTTTAGTTCTAACAATTCAATAATGAAATATTTCCACAATCCTTTCTATGTGTACTCAAGTATTATTTTAGAATATAAAATGCTGCCTGTGGTTTGCATATAGGCACGTGCACAGTGTTCTGAGTTGTTTGTGTTTTCTTGGACATAAAGATCATCTCTGAATGTCACGATGTACAAGATAGTCTAGATCTTCAAAATTTACCCGATTTAGTTGTGCTGTTTTTGCATTTGTCCTCCCTGTTTGTTACTATAAACTGTTGGACAAGTCGTTACCTTTATTTCAAGTCAAGATTTCTAACTTCTCAAGTCGAAAGAACGTAGAAAAATAGTATGTACATACTGTGAACCGTTCATACTAAAATATTACTGCTTCCCATCACTGGCGGACAAATAGGATTCTGATATGAAAGTTGTATTTATTTTTTTTTGACAAGTGCTACTGAGGGGTAGTTCCCAGACATGAAGTCTAAATGGCTTCTCTGACATTAGGGGTTGTGCTTCCTCCCATCCTTCCCAAAGATTTGGTTATGTTTAGCTGGTTTTGAATTAATTTTTCCAGCTGTCCCTTAGCAGTTTCTGGTGCATGTTCTCCTCTTGTAGTACATAGAATAGGTGTAGACATTTTCTCTGTGGTACTCTTTCTGTCAGGTATCCAGTGTTAGATTTTGGTGTGTGTATATATTTTAACCTTTCTCCCTTGGAAGAAAGAATTATAGCGTGGCTTGCCAAGCTTCTTTAGTGCTGAAGTGTAATGTGATATTAAGCCATCTGAATATGGTGGAATGAATGATTTGTTCCATTGCTTTCCTGTTGACAGTTACATGCAGTTCAGCCACAGTTTGGTGATATTAAGTGACTTATACATTGTTCCAGGAGAAACTCATTTGCAGATCCTGTTTTAATCAGTGACTTTAACCAACATAGTTAAATCTCTTTTGTGTCTCTCTCTTTCTAGTACAGAGCAGTATTCAGAGGTTCCAAGAGAAGTTTTTTATCTTTGCTTTAACACCTCAGCAGGTCAGAGAAATCTGTATTTCCAGGTAAGAAGTAAGAGTGTGACATAAACTTCTACAAAATTTCAGGGCTTTTGGTTCATTTTAGGTGTTGCGTGATTTTACAGGTGGAGAGTGATAATCCTCACCAAAACTATGCTGAGTTTATCTGTTCTGTGTTCTTCAGAAACTCTTGTGCATGATTTATGTGCAGTTAGGGTAAATCCTATGCCACTAAAGAGTTACAGATACTTGGTTCCAGATAATCGTGGCTATTTAGAGAGGTGGTAAGCTTTTCTTCCTTGCCTGTTTCCTGGCTCTGGGAATGGAAGGCTGATTTTGTGTTTTGTCCCGGGGTTCATGTTGTTGCAAGACCTGTGGTGTAAGCCAAGAGAATTCACCGGGTTTTTCCGCTCTGGCAACATCGTACTTTATTGTTAATATAAACTCTTGACAAAGGATGCTGATTCTGAAGTTCTGCTTAACTTGCAGTAACTGAACTGAGGTGTTGCTTGTAAGACTTGTTCATAGCTCAATAAAAGAAAAATAAGAGCAAAGTTTAGTGGTGTTGGGGCAAGTGTGCCAGTTCTGTCTGCATATAATTGGAATATGAGATCTGCTGTCTAAATGGGTACTTCTTTTTCTTTTCTCTTTGTCACAGGGACTTCTTGCCAGGGGGCAGGAGAGATTACACAGTCCAAGTTCAGCTGAGGTACATCTTTCATGGTGTTCTCTATTAACCTCTTAATTGGCTAACGTAACATGGGTTTGGATGTTTGTGGGGACATAAGAAAGAATGTGGTGACACTTGAAAATGACACTTTCTCTTTTTTTTTTGTGGGTACAGGTTATGCCTAGCAGAAACAAGCTGCCCTCAAGAAGATAATTACCCTAATAGTCTGTGTATTAAAGTAAATGGGAAGCTGTTTCCATTGCCGGTAAGCTTGTTTGTACGCATTTCTGGCTTCGTTGTTACTTGCAGTGTGTGTATGTTTTCTGTAATGTTAGCTTGCTAAAAAAATCAAGCTGTATATTGTTATCAGTCAAACGTCTGTAGTTTCTGATGTGAGGCATGTGGTTTGTACATTTGCTGTGTGAGAGCGCCATTACTACCGTTAATGATGTTACAGCCACTGCATGGGTTAATTGTGTTTCAGCCACCTGTAGCAAACCTCATCTGTTGCAGTTAACACAGCAAAATATGTCAAAACCAAACCAGTGTCTGTATGGGGAATCCTTCTCATAGGTCTTCAAACTAAGTTTATTTAACTTGATTGGTAGCAACCCCTGCTGTTTGGGCAATCCGTGTTAGTGATTGGTCACAAGGAAGTGGTGTCACTTTGTGTCCGAGTTTGTATGTTTCTCTGCATCGGTCTGGTTAGAGCAGAATTCACTGCAGGGATGAAGAACAGACACATTGTGGGGTTCTTAGCGTTTGCTGATGCTGGAACAGAACATTGTTTGCATAGACTTTACTGGTGTCTGATGTTGCGAAAGTTGGTACATAGTCAGGGTTGTTGGTATGTAGTCAGGATTACCTCAAGGTTTGAATATACTCAAGAAGCAAAAAACACTCCTGTTATTCTTGAAAAATCTCTGGATCGAGTATGATCTCTGTACAGTAGAACAGAGAGAAACTCTTATGGAACCAATTCTGAAACAGTTGTGGAAGCTACAGAAGGTGAAAAAGGCAGCAGCACAGAGGTTTTTTTTTCAGCATTGGGTTTGGAAAAATGGTGTGTGCAGAGAAGTTTGAAACCTTCTTAGTATGTCACATGTGTTGTCTTGTACCCTTCTGTCACATCTGGACTAATGCAACCTCTGGGCTCGCTTTGGATCCTAAGTTAGGTTCGGGATCCCTGCAGACAACATAAGAGGTGCAACCACACCAGCAAGTAGAAAATGTAAAAGATTTATTGAGCAACGAGTAATAAGCAACATCTAACGAAGGGATTGTGAACACTGGTTTTATATTAGGGAGAAGTAGAATGGTTAAGAGAAAGGGGAGAGAGAAGAGGAAAGGAAATAGGAGGATCAGCTCCCTCGGTTCCAGAGTTGTCCGGAAGCATTTTTGGATCCACGCTGGCCTTAGGTGACCACATGTGCTGTAATGCTGAGCCAGGGCCTCACCCAACACAGCTGTGTGCTGGATGTGTTGTCCAGAAGGACAGTGTGAGAGATGCTGTCAAAACCTTTGCTAAAATCCAGAAGACCCCACATCTCCTGTCTTCCCTCAGTCACCTAGGTGTTGTGAAAGGAAATTAAGTCAGTTACAGGACTTTCCCCTCACGAAGCCACATTGGCTTATGAGCCATGACAGCATTTGTTTAGCTGAGGTGTTGGGGCAAATGGTTTAGGGTTGAGCTTTGTGCGGTAGGGTTAATGGTTGGACTCGATGATCCCAGGGGTCTTTTCCAACCTGAATGATTCTGTGGTTATGGAGCGCTGCCTGTAGCTCAGTAGGTTGCGTTTTTATAGAGTTCAGCAAGCCCAGCCCCGTCCTGCAGATGGAGTCTGAATTAATTTCCACACAGTTGTTGTGGCATCTTCCAGAGGATTCCCTAAATGAGTCAGGGGGGTTGCCTGGGGGAAGGTGGCTTCTGAGGGTCCCCTGTCACTTGCCTGACTGTAGGTGCGGTTTGGCTGTCACAGTGTTCCATTGATATGGTTGAGTGAAGTCAACGAACATAAAAAGGAAACAGACCATCCCTGCAGGGGCCCCTTCCATGATCTTTGGTAACCAGGTCCAAGTGGCAAGATCAAGCCCACAGCTGTTAGAGATACCGTCCTTTACAGTCTCTCACAGTTCCCTCCTGCCATATGTAATCGTGACTGCTTTTTTTGCCCCTATTGGCTTAAATGAGATTCTCTAGCTTCTCCTCCCTCTTTAACCACTGTATTACTTTAACCACTTCTTTAACCACTGTATCACTGTTCTTCTCTGTCTTCAATGTGCAAGAGGAGTTCTTTCATAGGTTTTCTGCTCAGTGTTTCTTGAAAATGCCAGTTGTGTTTTCTGTTACAAACTTGAGGATTTTCTCCTTTTGTCAGCAGATGGTCTATCCTTTCTTTAAGCAACCCACCAAAGAGAATTGGGGCTCATGTTATCCTGTGGACATCAATGTCTGCTGATTCTTACTCTTGGTAGTATAGTTTACACCCTGCTGTGCCGTATTATATCCATTTTGTATGTAACATGACACAGTCATAGCACAGTGGTTTGTAGTCCTGGATTATTGTTTTGCTTTGGATCTAAATCCTGGAGCTTCTTCTTGAATATCATAAGATGATTCTTTAATCTGTTCAGCAGAAACCACAGGTGAAACTTCCTTTGGCAACTTCCTTTCCCGTCCTCCTTCAGCATGAGCTGAGCGACAAATACAATCTCAGGCCAAGTGCTCCTGCAGTCATTTGTTGGTGACTTGGTCACTGCATCCCTCTGGTGATTCTGTTCTTTTGCAGGAAATGCAAGATAAATTCCTCAAAGACCACTATTGTCCAACTCAGTAGTGGTGGTGTTAGGTAATGAATCAAGGCCAGCCTCTGTTGCCCACTTGTACAGTTCCTAAGTGACTGCTGTTCTGTCTTGCCCTGGTATAGCAGTTCATGCAGATGTCTGTAAATTACTTCTGGTCATCTGCTTGGCTGCAGCCCTCACCAGAAGCTTCAGAGAAGTGCTGCCAGTGTGCCAGTACTGCTTGAGATTGTGCCAGCTCTTGTTAACGCGATGTTTTCTTGTATTCCTACAACTCTCTATGTCTTCCTCTTAGGGTGATGACTCTGACTTTAAAGGAGTAAATGCAGAGCTTTGCATGCTGGCGTCTTGGCAAGCAACAAGAATTTTAGACACGATATACACAATATACCTGCTACAGCAGGTGGTTCTCCTCTTGACTTCTCTTCTAGGCAAGACAGAATGTGAAAGTCCAAAAAAGTAGTGTTGCTTTTCTCAAGGATGTCAACAGACTATTGCAGGTCTCTCTTTCAAAGGACAAAATCAAATATGTCAGGAGAAGCTGTAAGTAGCTAGATTAGAAGAGCAGTCGTGCTTCCTGTTCATAGATTTTTCTGGCTCTGGTAGATTCCACCTGCTTTTACTGATATGGTTCTTGCAAGAAGCATGAAATACTTTGAAATATCAAAATGACATTGACACTTGCTAGCCTGTAGGATTGGCAGCGTAACTAAGCATTGCCAGATGATGCTGGTTGTGAGGGCAAGTAGAGTTCTCTCTACTTAGTTCCTGGAAGGCTAGGAAGGGAAGTGTTCTAGGAGTACAAGAGCAAATATGATCTTAGGGTCATTGCTCTGTGGAAGAAGATGTCAAAAGCTTGAATGAAAGGAACCATGTGTGCTGCAGAGTCTGTCTCTTAAAAAAAAATTAAAATTGCAAAATGTAAGGGAACTTGCAACCTTGTTCTCCTGAAAGCAAGGCAGCTTCATTTTAGGATTGGAACCAGCAGGATTGTTGTGAATGGTCCAGAATTTGTGGAAATCCTCTCCTGAATAATGCAGGGGTGGTGTGTTTGCCCACGTAAGCTCATCATAAAGTCACCATAGTAGAGAAAGGCCCACGACAGTGAAGCATTTGGGATATATACTCTATATTGGGATATATACTCTATAAAATGGCTGCAGCTGTTACATCTGATTAGAGAAATGGCAAATCATTCTTTCTTTTAAATATGAAATTGTCAGCAGTCCTCATACAGGTTCCTCATAGCTACTGGGTCACACGCCTGGAGTGAGAAGCATTTTGCAGAGAGTTCTTTGTCAATTGTTGGTTGCTGCTGTGGCCTGGCTGACCTGCTTGTAGAAGCTCCGAGTCCCTGCTTTGTCACTACAAGGAGGAGCCCTGTCTGAAATTAATAAAGGGCAGTAGTGAGGAACAGCCTCATGATTGTGGAGTCCTCTCTGGGCTGGAGGCAGGGATTATCCTATGGAATACTTGGCTAGTGAGTGAAAGAGGCTGTTTATTTCTGGTTTATATTTCAGACATAGCTTCTTGAGATCTACACGGCACCTGGTCCACTAAAACCAGATGGGGTTCAGATGATGCAAAGGGGACAAAGGATCCCCGGTCATGAGCTGGTGGGACTCATAGAACATTCTTTAAACTAGATAGGAAGGGGGAAGGG